ATTCAGTATCAACTTCACAAATAATACACGATGGTCTTGAAGTATAGATTTTGCGTACTGACGTTGTTTATCATCTTAATAACGTGTTATAGTATTCTTTTATTTGTCTTTATTAATATTACTTTTACTGTTAAGTCTGTTTTTTGAGATATTCATTTGACGTGACTCAGTGCTTATGTATCCCGTCATACTTTGAAGGACACAATTATTTTATTTATTAATATTACTTTTACTGTTAAGTCTGTTTTTTGTGATATACATTTGACGTGACTCTGTACTTATGTATCCCGTCATACTTTGAAGGACAAAATTATTTTATTTATTAATATTAATTTTACTGTTAAGTCTGTTTTTTGTGATATCCATTTTACGTGACTCTGTATTTATGTATCCCGTCATACTTTGAACGAAAAAATTATTATTTTATGTCTACCTGTGCGAATTTCAAACGCGCGATTTTACGCCAGTACTTAAAACCTTCCATCCTTTATGGGTGGATTTTACATAGATGAATAAAATCGTATAATATAAGCAAAATGAGGATGTTAAATTTGATGTATGATTTTTTGTGCTTCTTCGTTACATTTGTTTGTTTTTATAGTGATTAAGATGATAACACAATGTTGACTGCTGTACCCCTATTTTTGACATTTTTACCTATTGTGTCTGTTTGTTTTGTTCACGCATCGTTGTCAATATAATAAAATTTGATGCGACTGTCATACAAGTGAGAGGTTTTGCTAGCTATAAAAACAGGTTCAATCCACCATTTTCTACATAAAAAAATGCATGTACCAAGTCAGGAATATGACAGTTGTTATCCATTCGTTTGATGTGTTTGAACTTTTGATTTTGCCGTTTGATTGGGGACTTTCCTTTTTGAATTTTCCTCGGAGTTCAGTATTTTTGTGATTTTACTTTTTAAACTATTGTGTTGATGTCTTTTCAAAAATAAATCATTTTCTTAATTAGAAAGTATTGTTAGTGAGTTTAAATAACCATGCTATCATGTTCAACGATGCATTAATAAATCTAATTTCACAATTAATTGGTTAGAGAAATACAAATATAACATAACACGTCTGTCTTTAAATTATCAGGCATCTGAATATTATCCGTAATTTACAAAATAAGACATATTTGAACTTATTTCGAAGTAAATATAATAAGTATGCTACCGAATATTCTACCAAGAAGCCCAATTCAAGACACATCAAGATTTACTCGCATAGGGATTTGCGAATAAACATTTGTATAAAGATATGTAGTAAAACAGATGAAAGCATACTATATTCATAAAACAAAAATGGACAAATTGAATGTAATCAATTTTTTTAAATTTAATTAGCCAATAATAATCCAAAAATAAACGGGAAAACCCGCTATTATTACAGAAATATCAACAGTAGCATACAAAATAAGAAAAACGGAAAAAACTAAAGAATAGGGACAATAAAGAGAATACAGGGATTCGAACCTAAACCGACAAGTCTCTACCTTTAACTCATTGATATTAACCATGTTAATTTCGCGGCTACCAACTTATACTATACGATTGTCTATTATGTATACATAAAGGTACAAGTACTGTGTGTCTTTTGTACCAATGTGTATCATATAATCGCTTCCGCAAATTTACAGATCTAACATTGTTGGGCTGTCGTTTAGACGAATCATATAATCATCTATATATATATAAACTAGATTTGATTTTGATTTGATTTTTGGTGTTTTAACGCCACTTTTAAGCACCGCTTTTGGGCTATTTCGTGGCGGCCAGTTTTTATTGGTGGAGGAAGCCGGAGTGCCCGGAGAAAACCAGCGACCTTCGATAGGAAAACTGACAATCCTAGTCAATTTAGATTGGAGTCGAGTGCACCCGCACGAGCGGGGTTCGAACTCGCAACCTCAGTGTTGACTGGCTAGTGATTACAGTAGTAACTACTTAGACCACTCGTCCACCGAGGCCCCTATATATAAACTAGACATTTAAATTGCAACACATTGGTAGCCGAGAGGTTCCGTTGATGTATTGATGTCAGTCACACATAACACATTTCAAGGAGGGATTCGATTCCCAGTGAAGGCATATAAAAATTACAATAATTAAAGGTAAGTTTTTAAATTAATTCCATTAGTGAACAGAAATCAGTAAATTGGCCAGTTCACATACTTAATGAAATTAGGCACACAAAGGAAACAATTGAATATAATTTGGAGAGTCCATTTAAGCGACAGATTTAGGAATCCACGATAAATGAATAGGTTGACGTCACGACAATGGTTTAATGGAAAGTTATGCCAAATTGTTATAACGGTTTAGATAGGCATGACGTAAACATTATGTTGCGTTTTTTTCTACTTCATGACATTATATCCATTTGATGCGTTAAGGCTTTTGTTTCCTTTCGCAAAACACTCCCGAACATTCTTATTTCGTGTTTGTTGTGCCTAAGCATTAGTTCAGCATTTGCCTGCATGTGTGGAATTTTATGCAAGTGAGAGGTTTAGCTAGCTCACCCTTAATAGGAAAAATAAATAATGAAAAAATCATGGTGCTTAATATGTTGCGTCAAGTTTAATTCCACATTCTTGAGCATTGAATTCCTTCCAGGATTTATTGTTTGGAAACAAAGTTTTCTTATAGCTGCCTATGTTAATGTGGTACTTGAAACAAAAGAAATGTTAGTTAAAAAAAAACCCTTACAGTTATTTATATACATGCACAATTTTCAGAAGAAAATACGACTACACTGATTATCTATTATTATTGTTTTCGCCATATGCACTTGGTGTCAAACCTGATATTTCATACCGAACTAGCTTAGATTTGAAAAATTCCTTAATTGTTGTATATTTCATGCTATAGGAAGTGTGCATTGCTATTGAAACCCACCGATTTGATTTTCACGAAGGATACAAGCTCGGATGTGCACCAAAAGAGGTATGCTATTCAATGTCATTTTAAAAAGGACAACAATAGAATACCTGATTAAATATTTAATACAATAGTTTTTAATGAAAATCAGTATCATTTACGTTAACTACAAATCCTGTTATCGCCTTATAGGGCGGTCGACTAAGACCAGAGTGGTAGCTTGGTAACTTAAGTACGTCAAGCTGATCGAAGGAACCGTTATAATCATATATTTTATGTCAGCGTTTGCACATTCTATGCTTCCTAGGCTTTGAGGTTCCAATGAATGATTTGACATTCTGGCAATTCATTCTTTAATTCAGAAATGTGGCTTTCAGTCAATTAAAGTAAGCGCCATTGTCCCTCTGTAAATTTTGAAGGCAACATAGAGAAGAAATATGTTAAAAATCTGTATTACAACCTCCGCTGCACGTTTCAGTATCAAAAGACGAAGAACCACAAAATTTTGATTTTGGTAAACAATTCTGTACTTAGAAACGTTAAATCTAACCGAATGCAAATCAACTAAATTCCTTTGTCCATAATAAGTAAATTCTTTGCTGAAAATGAATCTAACAACAAGCTTCTTACTTGCAGTTGTGCGCTTTTTTTGAAATCCTTTACAAAACCCTTTATCATGTTTTTGTGCAGAAATGTGTTTAGCATACATTGTATTTCCTTCCATGATCGTCTTATTACACCCGCTATGCCCTGTTGAATATAAATTTTGTGGATAATGTTAAACATATCCCAGATATAACGTAGTAGCTTACAAGAACTGCGTTTTCTGATAATTTTCTGTATGTCACCATAATTGAGGAAATACTTTTCGAATCTTTCTTTATATTCCAAAATATAAACGAGAAAAAATACTAGCAAGATCGGGACAGACTGAAGGACCTAAGAAATAGAAATTAACACAAAAAATTAAACATCGTAGCTCACGAGCGAAGTGACAGTCAGGGCGAATGATTGTTGTTGAACTATTCTGTAACAGAGAATATAAGGTCATACATAGCACTTCAGGGAGATAACTCTGTAAAAATCAGCTCAACATTTTAATCACGTTCTATTGTTAAGAAAATATTAAGCTTCTTAATGATCAAAATTAGTATTTGTCAAACTGCTATATATATATATACAATGAAATTTTCCCGATAAAGTGTGTGGTTCAAGTTTTTTGAAACTTTTATATTTTTGTCAAAGGGCCAAAGTAAATATTTTGTCAAAATTTTACGAAAATTAAACTAGCCAAATTAATTTTAGTCAAGGTGTTTGGTACCACCATAATGTATGAAATATAATGGATGGTAGGAGAACATAAAACGATTTTAAATACTTACTTTTTCAACAAGTAATAATAAATAGCAGTTGCGTTCTCTTTGCTTGGTTCTTCTGTCATTAAAATAAGAATAAGAATATATGTATTCATTGGCCATATCTTATATTTTTTTAATTTTAATCTACAATGTGAATACAAAACGTATGCACCTACGTGTGCTCTAAACCAAGTAGTTTCTATGCCCTTGTCATACGTATTTGCTTATAACACATCACTTAAAAACTGTTCACATCAGATTGTACTTATTGATATTAAGTCTACTTCCTGCAGCAAAATTCTGAGGTAATATTGGATGACCTTAGGTCAAATTTTACCGGAAATTTGAGAATATGCGTTTTAAGACCAGGGTCGTCTACCTCACAAAATATTAGTAGGTACTAAAAGATCGATGCAAACACATGCATATATGGATAATATACTGATACATAAACTTACTTTAAAATTTCACTGGAAGGTACTATGGATTCATTAGTATTCGTGGGATATCAATTTTCGTGGATTTCGTGTGTACTGGTAAACCACAAATTTCAATGCTCGACGGAGTACAAATATTCTGTAGGCTTGTTTGCAGACTTCAGCAAAACCACAAAAATAAATATCAACGAACACACGATTTTCCCGCAATCCACGTGAATTGGTACCCAAGAAAATAAATGAATGCACTATACTTTTATAATTCTTTGTACGCATTTTAGACATGCAATAACTTATTGACGCGGAACATAGAGGGATTATGTTGTAACACTAACTTTTGCAACGGAAACTATGCACCATCCACAACTGTGATTCCTCCTACTTCAACTGTATATGACAATCATCTTGGGATGCCTACAGGTACCACTATCCCTTCTTATATTCAATAAACTATTTGCTAAAGTATGATATATTTTTTAAAGAAAAAAACCTTAACTATCTTTTGAAGATTGAGTATGTCAAAGTCTCACAGTTTAATGTTTATTTCCGAAAGGTTTAAACTCGGTTTTACATCTTAATAAGTAGTCACAACTATCGTTACGATGTTTAGCATGCCATGATTTATTTTTGAAATGCTGAAAATAACAAAATATAACGGATCTATATGAACATGATGTAAAGTATAAAGCAACAAAACAAACAATGCAAATATAAACATTGAGATATAAGATATAGTCTTCTACTTTAGACAAGTATTCATACCATATGACAAGCTTGAAATATCCCCAAAATTGAATGACAAGAATCTTTCATGGTTCTAGTCGAATAATTCAAATATACATTTATGTATGTGTAGAGTTAATACTACAGATAATACACCAGGTCTAGTAGTTGAAAGCATGAACACGTCCATCGTAATTATTAAATGTATGACATTTTTTTTCTACAAAGGTTGTAATCCAAAGCTTATAAATGGTTGCCCTGCTGGATTTGTCAGAAAACGAAACAGTTGCTACCACATTGGGCGACAATGGAAAACTTTGACAGACGCCAAAGTAAGTATAACAATTTGCAGTACGTTTAGAGGTATGATAAGCTCGAAGTCATATACAGTGTACAACATGAAATGTTTGGAAACTTAAAAAGGGAAAGCTTGATCATGTGCTACCATAATTGTATGTACATAACTCTCTGCAAAATATACCAGTCCTTGTAGGAGCAGTCAACCGGACTTACCATGTTCCCTGAATACATTATTTCACCCATTAAAAAAAGTTCAACATTTATTCTTATGTGGAAGTTAAAAGAAAAAAATCATAATATTATGCGCACCTTTTTTAAGTGAAAAAAATATGCGTTATCTAAAAGTCCTAACTTTAAATATTTATGACTAGGTCGGATAAACGAGGTACTACGAATGCACATTTTAAAAAATGACAATGGTCACTATGGTCATTTGCATACAACAATCAAATTCATGATAGTATAGACAACATAAGTATATGTTCAAACTGCCTGCATGATATACATATATAGCCTAACATGGGTAAGAGGTGGTGATCCTGATGGATAATTACACCCTGATTACATTCGGTCATAGTCATTTATAATAATTATAGGCATGCATTGCGACTACAACTTATAAAACATACCCCTGTTAACGTTCGTTTAGCGTGACAACCTGTCTATATGGGACCTTTTTACAGTCATCTTATCCTTTATCTTTGTTGAGTTACTTTAACATTATGACCTGATTCAAGCATATAGATTTTTTGGCATAATTAACAAGTACTTTAATTTTTTTAGTTCTGATCCCGACATATTTCAAGGAATGAAATTTATTCAAATATGTAATAGTAAATAACCAAAATCAGAAAAAGTGAATCACATACAGAAATACAGATTTGATATTTTTATAAAGATTTGGACTGCAAGAATAGTCCTTCCTAAAAATGGGTTTTATATCAGTGTCTACAGTAGGATGTAGTGTTAACAAGTCGGAGCCAACAATTATAAATGAAAGGACATATAATGAAAGAAAAGTTACCTAAACGAATTATAGATACAGATCTCGTAGAATTGTTGTAAGAATTGCACTATCAATAGAATAAATATACTGGTAATTGGGACCACAACTTAATTCCTTTCTAAGAGCAAAAAAGAACTTAACACCAAATAAATAACAAAACAGTCTACAACGTAGATAAATATATACAAAAAGAGTAAAAATAAATTCAAAAACAATAAAGGCAGAAAGCAATATCAATATGTAAGATTAGCCCACGTATTTATGTTTATATTTTTATCGACAGAATTGTGGCGCCGCAAACGCAAAAACGATTTAAGAAGTATTTTCTTTTGTAGAGAGAATGTGTACGAAATTGCAGCAGACTTGCAGTTATAAGTAGTGAACGGGAAAACGAAGACATTTCAGACTTTCTACAACATACAAAGGCTTTACTTGGAGTGAATGAAGGTTGTATTATCTGTCCTTAAAAATTCGTAGAACAGTGTCAGATGACAATCTTCTAAATGCAACATAATCATGATATTATTTTGGAGAAAGGAAACGAAAATATGTTTAAACAAAAGAGATGTGGTAAGATTGCCAATTAGACAACTATCCTCTGGAGTCCAGTAAGCAGGTCACTGTATATAATACATCAAATTCATTGACACTGTTTAATGAAACACATCTTACTTTGTTGAGTTTTGATTCATCCTAATGCCAGTTATACCGATGTTTATCGACATAAACATAAACTGTTTTGTTTGTTAAAAAATGTTCTTCCGAAATTTATAGAAGGTACAATATATTTGGGACCAAGTTGGCAATTAGACTAACTATGTTTCAAAGTATCTTGGATTTAAATAATTTATCGACATCAACATTAATTGTTTTGTTTGGATTCTATTTTGCAAATACGTTGAATTTGTCTACGACAATGCTGTTTATTAATGTGATAATAAAGGTTCATATTTTAAATTAATCGATGTTTGTATTCTAATTTTTTCAGATTACCACTACTGGATTGATGCTTATAGAAGTCACGGTGGTAGCAGCCCGTGGTATTGGCGTAGTATTGGTTCCAATTTGAGTTATTCCAATTGGAGAACTGGATCGCACCATCACCAAAGTCATGATGTTGAACATTGTGCCAGCATAGGCAAAGGGGAATGGCATCATAATTCTCATCATGGATATTACTGGGATCATCATAGTTGTAATGGAAAATTTGCTGCACTTTGTGAATATCCCCTAGGGAATGAACCTTAACATTTCTATAATAAAACTTTCAACAGTGTTTGTGTAAGTTTGTTTGTATGTTTGCAATGTACAAGCATAACAACATATTATCATCAGATATACAGAAAAATGTTAATGATGTATAGAAGTTTGGCGATTGTATATCTGTGAAATGTTGTCTTACTTGAATATATATTGAAAACGATCACAATGCTGCTTGTCAGATCATCAGACAAATTGCATTTTTCTTTCTACAATACCATTAGCTGTATTTGGCGAAAAGGTTTCGGATTGTTGAATCCTCTATGCATTTCAACTTCGTACTTTATTTTGCCTTTTGAACTCTTTCGATTTGAACATCATATTTGACTCTTTTGTAGACGAATCGCGCGTCTGGTGTACACAATTTTAATTCTGGTATCTATGATGAGATTATGTATAAAGATCTCATTTACTTTCCAATGATGTACAATATATAAATAGCATATAGCTGAGAGGGTGATAGAGCAGATTGTTACCCCAAGAGAATATTGTCAACTGAGGCGAAGCCAAGGTTGACAATGTCATTTCGAGAGGTAACAATCTGCTCTATTACCCTCTCAGATATGTGGTATTTAATTTATTATACTGAGTGTTCTGTTACAACTGTCTATGAAATTTCAAATTCAAAGTAATAAACTATGTCGTCTTCCACATAACAATCATTCGTATTTATTAAAGCGCGCACTTGAGCAGGCGTCTCCGTGAAGGGTAATAGAGTATTTGCCATGGGATAGAGTAAATTGTCTACCTTGTATTAACCAATCAAGATCTGGCATTTTGACATGAAGTATAATAATAGATTTTATTTCATTGAATACATGAAAACAGGACATTCACTATAAATATTCTTTTTCTACACCTAAAAATGTTACAGAAGATCATGTTTTACTTCATTCGTCAAATGGACAGGAAATCGGTTTTTTTTTGCATTCTTATATGTTTGTGTTTTCAAAAGAGGGACGAAAGATACCAGAGGGACAGTCAAACTCATAGATCGAAAACAAACTGACAACGCCATGGCCAAAAATAAAAAGACAAATAGACAAATAATAGTGCAGATGACACAACATAGAAAACTGAAGACTAACCAACACCAAAAACTGTGAGTGATCTCAGGTGCTCCGGAAGGGTAAGCAGATCCTGCTCCACATGTGGCACCCGTCGTGTTGCTTATGTTATTACAAATCCGGACACAACATAGAAAACTGAAGACTAACCAACACCAAAAACTGTGAGTGATCTCAGGTGCTCCGGAAGGGTAAGCAGATCCTGCTCCACATGTGGCACCCGTCGTGTTGCTTATGTTATTACAAATCCGGTAAATAGTCTAATTCGGTAGGTCACATTCGTAAAAAGGGAAGGGTATTGTAGTTACGACATAAGGAACATATCCGATATGATCTGTAAAACGGTTATTCCATAACGGTCAACCAACTCGTGATGGCGTCCGTAAAATTTACGAAAGGATGATTTCAACTTCACCATTTGGAACTCTTGGTTTAATAGCTTCCTTGTGAGCAGCAATCCTCCATAAAGGAAATCATGATAGGAAATACAAGCCCGGGAATATCGTATCAATTGGGAGATATATACTCCGTATGCAGGCGCTGCTGGAATGTTGCTACATAGAAATGGAAAGTTCACAATTGGGAAGCTGAAATCATCTCTTTTGTCGTAAAGTTTTGTTTTCAACCGACCCTCATTGTCAATTTCTAGATGAAGGTCAAGATATGAGGCAGACTTAACTATCTGTAGTATCCTTTATCTCTAGTTCGATGGGATAGAATCGTTCAACATAGTCATCAAATTTTGTATTATTTAGTTAGAGAACATCATCTATATAGCGGAACGTAAAGTTAAAGGATATTGCTAACTTCTTATCTTTCTTCCTAAGAAGTTCCTGTATGAAGTCAGCCTCATAATAATAAAGAAACAAGTCGGCAAGAAGAGGGGCACAATTGGTTTCCATTGGAATTCCGACAGTCTGTTGAAAAACACGTCCTCCAAACGTAACAAATATGTTGTCAATCAAGAAATCAAGCATCTTGATAATGTCAGTTTCAGAGAATTTTTTGTTTGAATCAGAGTGATTCTTTACAAAGAAGGATTTATCCCTCCCCAAGACAAGATACTTGTATCTACGTTCGCCATTCTTTTTAATGAAACAAAGTAATACCATGTATGTACTCTAAAAGATCTTTGGAATTTTTTAGTATCCACATCTGATTCACGCCACCTCTAGAATAGGCTGTTTCACAATAACTTTGGAGCCCGACTTTGATTGCTGATAAAATAGAGCCCTTGGAAGACCCAGCAATATACCGTTGTTTGTAAGGACACTTATGTAGTTTAGGTATCCAATACAGTGATGGAAGATCCAGTTCTTCATCTTTGGTTGAAATTCCAAAGGAACATAGAACAGACCTATGATTATCCAGGATTTCCTCTTTGGTATGTGTCGTGAGGGTATATGTTGAGTTTCCAAATAAATTGTCAATACCTAATTCATTTATCAAGCAGTTTATGTAATGATATTTACACACAAAAACGATGTTGTTTGGGGCTTTATCTGCGGGGACAACACCATATTTGTCATGGAGGTATGACAAGTGTTTTGCAACATTTGGGTCTTTAAAAATTGACGTAGCGTGGGTATTGATAGACCCATTTAGTTTCTTAATTCGGATTTGTATCAACGACCTCACAGCCTTAATCCATTCGGAAAGAGTATCTACGTCTTCTTTCTTGCGTTTAGCTCATTGCCTGGCATAATCCTCGACTGAATCCATCATTATTTTGAAGTTGTATTTCCAATTGATGGATTTAGGCTCACGATATTTCGGACCTTTGGATAACAAATTTCGCAGGGAAGTGTTACTAAGTATTGACAATGTTGAGGTATCCGGTAATAACGTGACCAACCGGATTATATGTGAATTGGGAACTAGCACAGGTGCAATTAGGAGGTTTAGACTTGAAGTCGTCAATGTTGAGATCCTGCAAAACGTGTTTGTAATTAAAAATTTTAGTTGTAATTGGTTTGGTATAGGTATAAGAAATTATTGGTACAGACTGATCTTTAAAATAAGGAGGTATTTTCGACTGAACTAATTTATGATGAAGGATATTGCCTAAGTTGACGCCATCGAGACCTTTGTTGGCAAGGGAAAGTTTAAGAAAAGATCTTTTCTCTTTTTCATCTTTTCCAATGCGAACTGGTTTGAAAAGTCTGTGACTTGCAATATCCGAAATGATATCTTTAAGTTTGTATTGGTTTGAATGAGGGTTTGTAACAGTGGTTTCCAAACATAAATTGAACAGAGAATGAAGTTTTGAAAGGGGTAATGAATAAAGTTTCGTGCGAATGTGATGAATACCTAACGGCTTTTGTATAAATGGCAGCAAGTCATTAATAGAGACATCATGCAAAGTAGGTGATGTATAATGACGATGACCATGACTGCGTCTACGTCGAGGAGTAGAGTTAAAAATATTCATCACATTCACCGAGCTACAGGAAGGACTAGATAGAATACCTATACCATCAATTTTGTCATTGCAACCATATGGTGTCGCAGTTCCCAATTGTCGAATCCAGTAGTCCTCTTTTTGTCTACGAAGAGGCGTTGCAAGTTGAGGATTGTTAGTCTTGTGGTATATTTTTTCGATAGTACAAACTGACATAGAAACGATGGAATGATCAGGCTGATTAAAATGCTGTTTGCATTCAGGTTGATATCTGATCTATTGCCGCACATACGTTTGTTTAGCCTTCCTTTCGTTTCACCGACGTAAACCAATCCGCAAAGGTTACACTCCAATCCGTAGACGACATTGATAGATTTACAATTCAGATCATCGTAACTTCTAGTAAAATAAGACTTTTTAGTTAAATTGCTAGTGAATTGAGCATCTGTTATTAAAGTTGCACAAGTTTTGCAGCCATTTGTTCCACATTTCGAAATGAGACAGTGTTGTTCAGAGTCATCAAAATCCAAAATGTCTTCAAGGAGAACTGAACATGGCTGTGTATGTGTACTATTGCTATTGTCACTAGTATGATAATATGATCTGAATAAGTCATGTTTGGGATATTTGTCATGTCTTGTGATGAGGGGACACCTGCCTTATCAGACGAAACCGTGTCCATAGTGACGTCTGTTTCGGACCTTTTTAT